TAGTTCAACTTGATGTCTAGAACATGAAAATCAATTGGGACAAAGGCTTTACCAATCTGCACCTCAAGGTCTCTGATTTCTCCTAAGTTCCTTTGAGAACAATCCACAAAAGTGAATGAATCCCCTGAAGGCTCTATCTTCAGACCTAACTGGTCTGTCACAACCTTTCGTATTATGCTGACTATAGCTCATATGTCACATAATGCACATGGGGACTCAATGCCTTTCACCAAGCATGGTATTGCAAATTTCCCAGGATCATTCTTCTTCTTTAGTGTAATTCTTTTCTTCATCTTTTCTCTGACCTGATGGAAAAGTCTCAATATCTTGTCAGTTTCCTTAGTCTCTTTGAAGAACATCCACAATCTGTAGATAAATAAACCTCCTCGAATGACTTATCCAGTGAAATCCTAAGGACTATCTTAGTAAATTTATCCAGCTCCTTCTCATTAACTCCTTTTTTCAGATGCTTAACAAGCTTCTATTTTCTTCTCCTCAAGGTTCTTCTCTCCGTAGCCATATCAAATTGCATAGGCTCTGATACATCTTCTAAATGTGTTTTGGTGGTGTATGGGGGGTTATCTGAAGGTGTTGATGGATTCCTGAGTGTGTTAAATCGTGACTCATCAAACTTTGGTAATTGCACTCAATATGTGAGAGGTAGTCGTCGACCGATGGGTGCTGGAGGTTGTCGAACGCCGCTGATCTCTCTCGGTCAATCGATGGATGGATTTGGGTACCGATCGATGTTGACATGAAAAGGTATGGGTGGATGTGGGTGTTGTGATGTGAACTCCTAGTAAGTCATGATTTTCGCCGCATTGCACGGTGCAACTGGTTCTATTGGTGTCGTCAATTGATGCTGGGAAAAGCTCGTCGATTGTAGCTCATTGAAGTCCATCAGTCGATGTTCGTTGTGTGGCGTCGATCGACACCAATGCGAACTGCCAAAACTCATGGACCTTTTGACTTTGAAATCTCCTTCCTGAAACTTCTAATTCTTAACCACTCGCTAGAAATCATCATCTATGATGAAATTCACATGGTGCTTCATTGTTTCACCTCATATCCCCCTTACTAAGGCTTTTGTCTCTTAAGAACTTCTTATGTTTGAACTACATGCATCTCTAGCTTATTCACATGAGTGCTCAAGGTTTCAAACTGTGTGTTTAGGTTGTTGCAGACAGAGTCGATCTTCTCATTGAAATACACTGTCAGATTCTGTTGGCCTTCAAAAACGTGATCAAGCATTGCTTCAATCTTTCTCTCTTGAGTCAGTGGTGGTGGATTCTGGTAAGATGAACTTCCATAACTCTTGCTACTGTTGTTCCTGTAAGGTTTCTGGTACTGTGAACTCTGGTTGAAATTACTCCTCTGTTCATTCCCATAGGAGTTTTCGTTTCCATACTGGTTTTTAGACCTCTGAAATCCAGTGCCACTGATGAAGCTCACATCCTATATGCTTCTGTGTTATCCTCCATATGTACAACATCAGCATCTCCTGCAAAGAAAACTCGCTTCTTAAGAAGCTTGTGAGCACTGTTTAAATTTGCTTTCACCTCATCCATCTGCTCCTTCCCAAGGATAGCAGCATAATTCCTTCTCATAAAATCAGTGTTGTTGGTGCTATTGTTGGATGCCAAGTTCTCAATGAGTCTCACAGCCTCTTCTGGATTTCTAGTATTGAAGTTTCTTTCACTAGCTGTGTGCAGATCCATCTGATACTGCAGTGCGATGCCTCTGAATAAAGTGCTAAGCAGCTTCACTTCGTTGAATCCGTGGTGTGGACAATATCTTTGATAGGAATTGAATCTGATCCAAGAGCTTCTAAATGATTCTGTAGGCTCATGTGTGAATATAGCAATCTTTTTCCTCAAGTCTTCAGCGTGTGACTCATAAAAGAAGCTCACAAGAATGCGTTCTTGATTTCTGTCCAATTTGTAAGCGATCTTGGTGGTAACTGCTTAAGCCAATAAGAAGCATCTCCAGAAAGTCAATACTTGAAGAGCTTGCAGAATAAGTAGTCCTCAGGGACTCCATTGACCTTAATAGCAGATATAAGATCATCGAACCTCTCCAGATGGTCTATAGGATGCTTGTGAGATAACCAACAGTAGGGTGTCTGTCCCACGAATGTGTAGTATTGGGGCTTCAACTCGAAATCGCCTCTCTGGATAACTAGAGGGCGTATAACTTATCTCTTGGCATATAAATAATCTGGATGGTTGTAATCAACCAACGTTCTGGGTCGAGCAGCCTTGACTCTAGGTTCTGCAGCTTATGTAGCTTTAATATCAGGCTCAGAGGATTACAGTCCCCTGAACATATATCCTTTGACATGCTGCATTACGCAGATGACCTTTTAGGTCATGCAGGTTCCCATCCATTTTCCGTCTGAGAATCAGCGAGGCAACCATGTCTCGCATCTGAGTATCGATCGATGTACGGACAGAAGTGTCGATCGATGTCGTGTGGAGAATGTTAGTTGACGGGAAAGTAATTTTGATCGACGGTGGTATGCGAATGTCAGCAAACTAGTTTTGTTGTTGATTGATGGGGACCGTTTTTCCTTGCGAATTGAAACGTTCCAAGCTTGTAGGATCTTCTGAGAATAGCATTGATTTTTTCTTGTTGCTTTTGGTTCTGCTGGGCATGCACCTGGAAAGAAAAAATAAAATAAAAAATTGTCAGAAAGTGGTTTAGAGAAGTAACATATACTGAATAAGACTAAATCTAATGGTCATCAAAGCTCCCCGAACAACAGCGCCAAATTTGATATCACTCAAATTACCCTAAGGAAAGAATTACCCTCTCAAATAAGAGGTTCAGTTGTAGTACTTAGGGATCGAATCCACAGAGAACTAGGGCACACAAAAGATCTAATCAATGATTAAGCTAGGTTGATTATGTCTAAAAGTAAATTGCAGGTTTGAACAAGGTAGTTGTTTGGTTAGTTTGATTGAGGTTTTGTAACAATATTAGAAAAATCTAGACTTAGGGTTTCTATTTAGATAATCAGAATTATAGAGACATAGATGCTAATCAGTTGCTTGCATGATATTATAGAGCTCAACTTAAAGAACAAATCGACCAGCTGTCGCATGTTTAGATTCGTCTATTTTCTAGATCTAATTATCTCAACTGTCGCCTGTTGATTAATAGAAAGTGTCAATCGATGATTCTATAGGAATATCGATCGATACACCTTTCACACCGTCGATCGATTATTCTATAGGAATATCGACCGGCACGCTTCTAGCAAGCTTTGCATGCGGGTTGATGAAGTACTCACTATGGTTCCTAGAACAGTATTCACTTGTTTCTAGCAATCCTATTTCAATAAGGATCTACTTAGATAAAAGACCAAGTTGTCACTTGTGCTAAATGATTCTAAGATTAGGGTTCTAGTTAGTTATTCTAAAACACAAGCATCAAAAACATCATATTTATCACAACTTAGAAATTCTATATTTGGGGCTAATCTTTCATAACTTATTTAAACCCTAAACCTAATAATAAAACTACTCAGACATAACTAAACAATTCATAACAACAAGGTATAAAGAAAACTGCATAGATAGATAAGTAATAATAATGGAGTTCCAATAACAAGCTTTGAAGAAGTCTTGGATCTTCTCTCAAACTTTAACTAAATCTTTAGGTATGAAAACTAGAAAATAAGAAAGCACATTTTGCCTCAAACAATTGGCAAAGTAATAAATACTAGGTAAAAATTCGTCAGAGGTAAATTTGTAAATTGGTTAAGTTTTGAACTTAAAGTCGAATGGAACCAAATTGGGTTTCTTTGCGCTTGTCTGTCGATCAATGGCACAAGATGTGCATCGATTGATTATTGACTCTGATCGTCGACCTTTGGCCAGCTCGATGGCCAACTCAGGTGAATTCTTCTTTTATCTCCATAATACTCCAAAACATCATATTCTTCCAAATCACTCTTGAAGCTATAAATATGTTAAATATACTCTAAAACACAATAGTTAGATATTAAACCACTTATATATCATGGTTGAAAGTGGGTAAAATCTATAGTATATCAAGTATTATCTCAGCTAGATCTTTGGTAAACAAAGAACTAATCAAAGGAGTGGGATTATGATTAACGATATCAGTATAGAATGATCCTTAGCTCCAACAACTCGTCAAAGACCAGCAAACAATAATCAATATAACATTTACTCTTACCTTACAGTCGATTATCTCATCAATACAGCATCAAAAACATGGAATTCGCAACCAATTCGGTCATTGCTTGATCCCCATGATGTGAAAATTATAGAAAGCATACCTTTTAGTCTGATACAACTGCTTGAAAAAGATATATAGCATTTCAGAAATAACAAAAAATAAACAGTGAAATATGGTTACCAAAGAAACGAGTTTATCCTGATATGAAAAAACCGGTACTAGTGTTTGGTCATACGGTTGATTCTCAGAAGGCGTGTCATTGGATAATATAATGCCGACCAATAATGAAGTATTTTCTATGGCATAGTGTCAAGATGCATTGCAGTTAAGAAGAATTTACGAATAAATGGGATGCAAGGAACATATGTTGTGCAAGGTGTTGGGCACTGGAAGACTCAATAATTCATGTTTTTTTAGTGTTCACCAGCGATCTAAATTTGGGCATTCTCAAAAATTCTATTGAATCCAACTATTTTTCCTAATCAATCATTATTCGCAAATGTAGATCATTTGTTTTAGAGAATTTCTCTACAAATAGAGAATCATCAATTCGCTTTGATATTATGGTATAAAACTTTCAGTAGTATAGATATCGATTAAAATCGATATTGATCTCATGGACACTCTATGTATCTAAATATAAATATGAACTATTTAACAGTGCATCTAGATTTGCCAACAAAAGGAAAAAAAACATAGAAAGAGTGAAGAAGTCCAAACCGGTTTAAGTCTTCAAAAATTTGCCGCTTGCAAGACTCTGTGTTTACAGAAACACCTAAGCAAGAACAACAACAACAAATGGTGAATTTGGGGTCCGCAAATCGAGAAGCTCTGATCGCACAAAGCATCTGCGCAACTGTACTGAAAGGAAACTGGAAAAACATTCTGAAACACAAACTCGATTCAGGACTACTAACATCATCCATAACCACGCAGGTACTCTCCGAGCTCTCTTCTTATTCCAGTTATGGCGGACCTTCTCTCTCACTAAGTTTTTTCACCTGGACTGATTCGATCCCAAGTTGCAAACACACCTTACAATCTTCATGGAAAATGATCCTCATCCTCACAGAACATAAACATTTCAAAACCGCACACCAACTGCTCGACAAATTGTCTCAAAGAGAGCTTCTATCATCACCTTTGGTTTTAAGATCTCTACTTAATGGTGTTTCGGAAGACCCAGAAGTTCTCTCTCATGTCTTTAGCTGGATGATAATATATTACGCTAAATCCGGTATGATCAGTGACTCAATCGAGGTTTTCGAGCAGATTAGGAGTTGCGGTTTGAAGCCTCATTTGCAAGCTTGTACTGTGTTGCTTAATAGTTTAGTTAAAGAGAGATTGACTGATTCAGTTTGGAAGGTGTTCAAGAAAATGAATAAGTTAGGTGTTGTGGCTAACATTCATTTGTACAATGTGTTGGTTCACGCGTGTTCTAAATCCGGTGATCCTGAGAGAGCAGAGAAGCTGTTGAGTGAGATGGAAGAGAAAGGTGTGTTTCCTGATCTTTTTACTTACAACACTTTGATCTCGGTGTACTGCAGAAAGGGTATGCATTACGAGGCTTTATCGGTGCAAGACAGGATGGAGAGAAGCGGGGTTGCTCCTGATATCGTTACTTATAACTCGCTTATACATGGGTTTTGTAGAGAAGGTAGAATGAGAGAGGCCACGAGGCTGTTTCGTGAGATCAAAGGCGTTGTTACGGCTAACCATGTTACTTACACTACTTTGATTGATGGGTATTGTAGAACGAATGATATAGATGAGGCTTTGAGGTTACGCGAGGTAATGGAGGCGAGAGGGTTTTCTCCTGGAGTTGTGACTTACAACTCGATTCTACGTAAGCTGTGTGAAGACGGAAGAATAAGAGAAGCTAACCGGCTATTGACTGAGATGAGTGGGAAAAAGATAGAACCTGACAACATCACTTGCAATACTTTGATCAATGCGTATTGTAAAATCGGAGACATGGTGTCTGCTGTGAAGGTAAAGAAGAAGATGGTCGATTCAGGGTTAAAACTTGATATGTATTCCTACAAAGCATTGATTCATGGGTTTTGTAAAGTGTTGGAAATGGACAATGCAAAGGAGGAGCTGTTCTCTATGCTAGAGAAAGGCTTATCACCAGGATATTCCACTTATTCTTGGCTCGTAGAGGGATTCTATGACCAGAACAAGCAAGATGAAATCTCAAAACTGCCTGAGGAGTTTGAGAAAAGAGGTCTTTGTCCTGATGTTGCTCTATATAGAGGATTAATAAGAAGGATATGTAAGTTAGAACAGGTGGATTACGCCAAAGTGTTGTATGAATCAATGGAGAAGAAGGGTTTGATGGGAGATAGCGTTATATACACTACCATGGCTTACGCGTATTGGAGAACAGGGAAGGTCACTGAAGCTTCTGCTTTGTTCGATATAATGTATAATCGACGGTTGATGGTAAACCTGAAACTGTATAAATCTCTCAGTGCCTCCTACGCTGGTGACAATGAAGTGTTGAGATTCTTCTGGAGTCATGTAGGTGATAGAAGTCTCATTTCGAAAAGCATCTTACGGGATATGAACAGAAGCGAGGTCTTGTGAAGTATGAGCTCAGTGTTGATCACGAACAAGGTTGAGATACACTTAAGCAGGGTTTCGAGTCGCTTGGACTCGTAAGTGAGTGATTAAAGGTACTGAAATCTTGTGTTCTCTTACTTTGTTTTGTGAAGAATTAAACTCAAAAGTTTCATGCTTTTAAGAGAGTCTGGGTTTCCTCTGTTTTGAGTAATTAGCTAATAAGCGATAGGTTTCGGGAAGCGAGGTCTTTGAAACATATTAAAAATTGTTTGAAATAACATAAGTTAGATCCCAGTTTTCTGAAAATTCAATTAATTAAAAAACACCCGTAAGCTACTCCTCGAAGTACATCAAGCATTGATTAAAAAATCGAAACGATGATAATCAAAAAGATTCGAAAAATGATATTTTTGTTTTATGTGTATTTCATAATTAATTTTAATTGTATCTGTGTTTTAATTTTAAAATTTTAAAGACTTCATTAGAATTTTTGACTGGTTTTGATATGAGTTATTTTGTTTGGAAGTACAATGAATCCATAATTTTGTTACACACCTTGAACATGCGAAATCTTAAGACCTTTCACGTTTTCAAGACCGTAGACTCTTAATATATTTTTTTTTTTTGGTAAAAATGTTAAGATTTATTACCTGATTTTCAATTTTTTTACAGAAGATTACAGGGACAAACAAGAAGCGGAAGAACATAAATAATCTAAACACAATACTCAAACCTAACTAAGCAGGGGCTGACTCTAAGCTAAGCACCATAGGCAAAGGATACATGAAAATCTGAACAATTGCTTGCCACAAAATGAAACCCGCAGTTAAAGCCAGAGTCTAGAGATGAACCCGGTAGAATTCGGCAATGCCCGATGATCATCTCTTTAAAGCCTTGTAGTCTTCACGGACGGACACCTTCACAAAAGACCAAGAACACCTGCTGAGACAAGGACGAGCTTTATTTGGAAAGGAGCCGTTAAAGCCGCCACAGACCACCGCACCTGCACCAAAAAGACTGAGACAACAAGCACCGCCTTAAGCCAAAGCGGTCAGGAAGCAGCCCAAGATCAAGCCTTTGAAACTTGCAGACCCACCCAGCACACACCGCCACTGAGCAGAGCAACCGTGATTGACAAATCCAACGAGTCGCCTCCTCGCATACGCCCTTGCTATGGAAAACCTGCAACGGATCCATCTGGCTAGGAACCGATGACAACTCCAGACAAGCCCCAGAGAGTCACGATCTGACCAGCTTAACAAGACGACACTGGGGACCACCGAGGAAGCAGAAGGAACACCGCAACTCCACCACCCAGTGAGACCAACGCCGCCTTCAGCCTAGCGAGACTACTCACCCGCACCGAGAAGTGAAAATAGAGGAGGTAGAAGAAAGGGTGACCCATCTCTGATATCTAGATCTGACACCAGATCTGAACCACTACGACCACGATTTCCCAAGAGACAACCTCACATCCACTCCACCACCACGGTTCACCGATGTTCCGAAGTCCACGCGCTAGATCTGCCCGCGGAAGCACAAGACCCAGAACCCCAAGAAAGGAACCGAGAAAGAGGAAGGAGAGGAGATGCGAGCAGGAGGAATCGACAACGGAGAGGGGGGGGGGGGCGACCGACGACAGAGGAGAAGGAGGCCGTCGGCCACCCTAAGCAAGAGGCGATTAGGGTTTATTTATTTTTTAGAGGATTTCGTCTTAATATATCTTCCCATAGATTAAACGAGAAATCATTTTAAGTGACTTTTGCTTACATGTGAATTATTGATGAACTCTTTTCAAGAGTTAATATAATTTGATTGATCGATGATTTAATTTTAAATAATTTCAATAAAAAAAAAAGTAAATTAAGTGACGGCGACAGTTTTGGAGATCAGCTACGCGATGGTTTTGTCTGGACTTCTGGTGTAGATCAACGCTCTCAGGTGATAGATCGACAAGAATCCGGCTGACCCTTGTTGGCTGGTTGGTTACACTTCACAGAAATCGATCCTTGTCGGTTTCTTCCTGATCACGCAAATCCCTTTGGTTTGTGGATCGATCGTTTCCTGGTGGTCTCCACTCTCCGGTGATATTTGTTTCTCCAGTCATCTTACGCTTCAAAGGAGTTGACCATAGTCGGCCTTTTCAGCGTTAAGTATCTTCTGAGGAGTTTGATCACGGAGCAATATTTTTCTGGAATGGCGATAATTGGGATCTGATCACACAAGCAACAATCACTGTGACTGTGGCTGTACTGTGGGTTCTGTGCGTTTCTGATCATACCGTACAGATATCCTTCTGTATTGACGTTTTCTTATTGCCTACGCTACTGGTGTAACTGGTTCTCCTTGGGACCTTGGACATCCAGACGAAAACTTTTGATCTGTTTTGATATAAGTGGGAGGATTCTTTGATCTGAACACTGTTTTCGATTGCTGATCCCACTCATTATTTCTCTGCGGAAAGGACTCTGTTTTTTCTTATTAAAAACAGAGTACGAAGTGTCTCAAGTTGTGCTGTACCTGTTTTGGGATACGAGTAATGGAGAAAGGTCCGGGGGCTTCTTTAGGTGCTTTTAGTGGCCAGGGCATAATGAGTATGGAAGAGGAGGAGCCTTTTCGATTGATGGAGGATGAGACTACCCAATTACATGAGGAATTTAAACTATCCTTGATAGGGAAGATTTTGAATCCGAGGAAACAGAATGTTGAGAAATTGATCAACTACATGCCTTCGCAGTGGGGAATGCAAGATCGGATTACAGCTAATGATTTGGGTAATGGAAAGTTTTTGTTGAATTTTTCTTCAGAAGAAGATATTAACGAAGTCTTAAGGCAAGGTCCTTTCCATTACAACTTCTGTAAGTTCGTCCTAGTACGTTGGGAGCCTATTGTCCATGATGAGTACCCATGGATCATCCCTTTTTGGGTGACTATAACTGGAGTGCCTTTGCACTTGTGGACAATAAAGAATTTGCGTGGACTTGGGGATTCTCTAGGCCGTGTTGATACGCTGGAGCTTGAGGAAGGAAGGATGCTAATTGATATCGATACGCGCAAGCCTCTGAAGTTCACAAGAATGGCTACAAATGAAGCTGGTGATGCAGTCACAATCAAGATTGCCTACGATCTTCTCTTTAAACATTGTACTACTTGTGGTTTCTTGACCCATGAGAAGGATCATTGTCCCTTAAAACCAAAGCTTACCAATGTTCTTGATCGTGTTGTGGTGCCAAAAGAGGAGGATAATATGGTGGCAATGCGCAGAGGCATAAACAAGAGGCTTACTTTCCAAGATGATATTAGCTCAGGTAGCTCTAAGGAGATTAAGCAGTACCAGAAGTTCGGATACAGGAATAACAACAGTCATCGACCTACTCGACACATTGGGGAGGACGGATTACGAGATTCTGATGTGCATTCTAAAACTTATCAGGATAAAGCTGTTGGCTTTGCTCACCGTCAAGGCGCAGAGAACAATCATGCTGACAGGGTAATGCGACGACGCCATGAGTCACGAGGATACAGTCAGATTAAGTCACGAGGATACGCCTATGCTCGCCAGCTTGATACCAAAAGCAAGGAAAAGTCTTATGCTTCTTCCTCTCGTGATGCTGCGCGGACTATGGCAAGAGCGGAAATATCTGGCTCTGTGAAAACTGCGAATAACCAGGGTGGAACGTCACAACAGTGGAGAGAGGCAGCACAAAACAATAGGAATGCGAAGCTGGAATGGCGTGAAAAAGAAAAAAACAGAAGCCGGGTAGTTCATACTCGGAGAACCTCAGAGGAGTTTCACCCAGCTTCCCCTGATCATTCCGTTGATAGGAGGTCTGAGGATCGTGTTCAGATGGTTTCGGATAAGTCCAGAGCTTCTCGCTCCCCCGTGCATCTCATATGGATGTTCATCGGAGTAGAAGTGGCGGAAAACGAAACCGAGATACGGTTGATGGTGGTTTTACTGGTTCAGGCGCTATGATGCAAGTTAGCCAAAGGAATGAAGATGAAGTGCATATATTACCTACTGGGGGAACAGCTATAAGTGGAGCAGATTTGGAAGGAAGAACATGTGCAGGGTCTTATGGCGTGGGGGAGCCGGTTGATGACGACACTCTACAAGGTCTTGAGCGAAGAGCGCCAGTTGACAAGTCAGAGATTCATGGGATTCCACAGAAACAAAGGCTAGCTAGTAAAATTACCTCTCCAGCTATGCAAGACAACGTGACAATTCGTCCAAAAAGTGTTGTGCGTTCTTTGACGTACAACAATGACAATGCCGTGCCTGAGGATGAGGATGCAAGGGTTATTGAAGCTTTATCACTAGAGGAAGAGGGAGAAATGGAGGAGGAGGATGATTTGTTTGATGAGGAGCTCATGGAATTGGGGGAACCTCCAATACAACATACTTCACGTCATATTGGGAATGAGAAGAGCTCAAGGACTGTGTTTGGAGGTAGGAGTGGGAATAGAAGGACTCCTAGAAAGAAGGAGGTTCTCCGTCGGGGATCTCCACGGCTGCGAGTACTAAATTCTACTTCTCAAAAGCATACTGGTGAGAAGTCTAAACCAAGACATGGCAGTTACAATGCTCGGGAACAACGATCTAAGACACACAAAGGAAGTGGTTCGGTGGGGTCCAAAAACCCACCCCACTTTCATCCATGAGGACACTCAGTTGGAACTGTCGAGGGATTGGAACTGACCTCACAGTTCGACGCCTTACGGAGATGTGTCAGAAGCATCGCCCAGGACTAGTGTTCCTTTCTGAAACAAAGAATAGGAGGCTGCTGTTGCAAGACATTCAGGCCGACTTAGGATTTGATCGTTTGTTCACCGTTGAGCCACTTGGTCTCAGCGGTGGTTTAGCTCTTTTCTTTATGGATGATTTTCAAGTTAAGATTTTATTTTCGAATAACAGAATGATTGATATTGAGGCAGTCATTGATGGAATAAAAGTCTATATGACATTTGTTTATGGGGATCCTGTTGTAGAACGAAGAGAATTAGTTTGGGAACGTCTTACGCGTTTTTCAACAACAAGGGACGGACCATGGTTTATGATTGGTGATTTTAACGAAATAACTTGTCATGAAGAGAAGGAAGGGGGTAGACAACGAACAGATAGCTCTTTCTTGCCTTTCAAACAGATGCTGAGTGATTGTGGCATGTTAGACTTTCCCTTCACAGGGAATATGCTTT